TTTTTCTAGTTTTAGTAGAGACCGGGTTTTACCATGTTGGCCAGAATGGTCTCAATCTCTTAACCTTGTGATCCGCCTGCCTCGGCCTCCCAAAGTGTTGGGATTACAGGCGTGAGCCATTACACCTGTTATGTGGAATCTTAACCCAATTTTTTATTTCTACTATTTCTTTTATTTCTCAAGATACATTGATATAGTTCTTAGACTTTTAATGGCTGATTGGGAGGGAGGGGGAAACTAGATGTTTATGTTGCTTTTTGATGAATTAATACACAATATATCTGGGTCATACGTATTTGCCTTCAACTGCTCTATCTTTTATTTTGGAAGAATTAGTGGTGAAATCTTTATATTGAAAGTGAGTTTTTCAATTTTAAAGTTGAAAAAACATCTGGCAACATTAAGACTATACTAAAAACCAGTGAATTGTATATTCTAAAATAGCTGAAATATTATGTTTTATGTTATGTGAATTTAATCTCAAACATACAGGGAAATATCAGCTGGCAGTTTGATGGCCCTTTCCTGTTTGTTGCAATTCTTAGTTGTGATGGATATGTGTTTGCTTTACAGGGTTGTTAATCATCATGTGGATTTTTAGAGTTTTTTAGTGTTTTTGAGGAATGACTCAGGAAATCTGATGTATTACTTGGATTCCTAACATCTTTTTTTTTTCCCCCCCTCTTTGAGTCTTGTTTATGGATCATTTTGTACTTTTAAAATCCCTTTCTCCCCTCTCTCTCCAGTCTTATTGCCAGCAGTTTTGCAGATGACTCCCATGTAGCCTCACCATTAGACCAGAATGGAAGCTTCAATGTTGTTATTAAAGAGGAACCTCTAGATGATTACGACTACGAACTTGGTGAGTGCCCAGAAGGGGTCACTGTGAAACAGGAAGAGACAGATGAAGAGACAGATGTATACTCAAACAGTGATGATGATCCTATACTAGAGAAACAGCTAAAGAGGCACAATAAAGTTGACAACCCAGAAGCTGACCATCTATCTTCTAAATGGCTTCCAAGCAGCCCATCAGGTGTTGCTAAAGCTAAAATGTTCAAATTAGACACTGGAAAGATGCCAGTAGTCTATCTGGAGCCCTGTGCTGTCACTAGAAGCACAGTGAAGATTTCTGAACTCCCTGATAACATGCTTTCCACATCTCGAAAGGATAAATCTTCTATGTTGGCAGAATTGGAATATTTGCCTACATACATTGAAAATTCCAATGAGACTGCCTTCTGCTTAGGCAAGGAATCAGAAAATGGTCTTAGAAAACATTCATCAGATCTCCGAGTGGTACAAAAATATCCCTCACTGAAAGACTCTCAGTGGAAATATCCTGATATATCTGATAGCATTAACACAGAAAGAATACTTGACAGTTCAAAGGGTTCAGTTGGAGACTTACTTTCAGGAAAAGAGGACTTGGGCAGAAAGAGAACAACTATGCTTAAGATTGCAACACCCCCAAAGGTAGTGAATGCTAATCAGAATGCCTCTCCAAATGTCCCTGGAAAAAGAGGAAGGCCACGAAAATTGAAACTCTGTAAGGCAGGACGACCACCTAAAAACACAGGAAAGTCTTTAATTTCTACAAAGAATACACCTGTAGGCCCTGGGAGTACTTTTCCAGATGTGAAGCCTGATCTGGAAGATGTGGATGGTGTTCTCTTTGTTTCCTTTGAATCAAAGGTAAGATTGTAATTTTCAGGATTCTTTTTTTTTTTTTTTTTGGAGACCAAGTATCTCTCTGTTGCCCAGGCTGGAGTGCAGTGGTGTGATCTCAGCTCACTGCAACCTCTGCCTCCTAGATTCAAGCGATTTTCCTGCCTCAGCCTCCCAAGTAGCTGGGATTACAGGTGTGCGCCACTGCACCCGGCTAATTTTTTGTATTTTTAGTAGAGACGGGGTTTTACCATGTTGGTCAGGCTGGTCTTGAACACCTAACTTCAGTTAATCCGCCCACATCAGCCTCCCAAAGTGCTAGGATTATAGGCGTGAGTCACTGCACCCAGCCTATTGTTTTAGTAGAGATGGGTTTCACCATGTTGCCCCCAGAGTGGTCTCAAACTCCTGAGCTCAGGCAATCTGCCTGCCTCTGCCTCCCAAAGGGTTAGAATTACAGACGTGAGCCACCACACCCGGCTTCTATTGGAGGATTTTGAAGTAAGGTTAAAATCTTAAGTAGAAATTGTGCAAGGAACAAGTAACTACACATTCATGTAGTAATTGCTAGTGCCTATTTTAAGTTTTATAAAGTTTTACAAAGACAGTGACTTTAATTGGGTTAGCAAGTAGTGAAAAAAATAGTGCTTCATTCATTAATGATGGATTGGTGTTGAAAATGTATTTTATTGGACAGAGACACTAATGTAATATTTTCCGTGTGATTGGATCCTATGGAGTATAATGCAGGTTATTGTTTAAGATGAGGCTGAAATGGCTGAAGATAAATTATATTGGGCTTTGAAAAACATCCCAGATATTTATACTTTTTTCTTTAGTTTCAGAAGCCTTTGAAATGCTTTTGAACAGGCAAGTAATGTAAATATAGTTCAATATTTTAGGGAGATAAATTAGGTAATAAAAGTAATGGATGTGAAAATATCTTGATTGGGGGTATTTAATTTTATTGCCTTTTCTTGTGATTTTGCCCCTCAAATCACTGCCTTGCTGGCTTTTTGATGTCTTCAAATAGATTTTAAGAAATATTCTGGGGGGAAAAAACTGTTTAGTGTAACTTTTCTCGTTCTAAGTGGAGGAGGGTCAGTCTGCTCTGAGCTATTTCACACTACTAATGGAAACCTACCTACCTAACTTTTAAAAAAGTGACTAGGCTGGGCGTGGTGGCTCACGCCTGTAATCCCAGCACTTTGGGAGGCCGAGGTGGACAGATCATGAGGTTATGAGTTCGAGACCAGCCTGGCCAACATGGTAAAACCCTATTGCTACTAAAAATACAAAAATTAGCCGGGCGTGGTGGTGCATGTCTATAATCCCAGCTACTCAGGAGGCCGAGGCAGGAGAATTGTTTGAACCTTGGAGGTGAAGGTTGCAGTGAGTTGAGATCATGCCACTGGACTCGAGTCTGGGTGACAGAGCAAGACTCCATCTCAGAGAAAAAAAAAGTGACTGATCAGAGGAAAATATTTTAGTTGCATAAATGCTGTTTTCTTATTTTTAAAATTTTAAAATTTTTATTTATTTATTTTAGAGGAGGCGTCCTGCTCTGTTGCCCATGCTTTAGTTCAGGGTGTGATTGTAGCTCACTGCAGCCTTGAACTCCTGGGCACAAGCAGTTCTGGCACCTCAGTCTTCTGAATAGCTGCTACTACAGGCATGTGCCACCATGCCTGGCTATAAATGCTATTTTCAGTCATAGACTTTGAACTATTTAAAAAAAAAATGCCCACAGTCCCTTGTTACATACATATTATTTGTTAGTGAATATATATATAGTGGGTGTGTATAGTTTTTCTCAAAGCAGTTTTCATCCTGCTTTCCTGTACTGCTAACATGTTGACTTGTATGGATATTTTGGTGGGGGGAAATGAGAGGTGCAGTTTTGGAATTTCTGAAGCTGAGAATTCTAATTCCAGTC